GACCAATGGAATAGAATTCAGGGCCTAGAAATAAACCCACAATATCTACAGTCAACTGATTTTTGACAAGAGTGCTAAGTCCATTCAATGGGGAAAGAAGAGTCTCTTCAATAAATCATGCTGGCAAAATTGAACTTCCACATGTAGAAAAATGAAACAGTTTATCTGTGATGGTCAACTTGGTTGGGCCACGATTCTCCGTGTTTTAATGTAATCACTCCCATGATTGAATATACTGTGAGTAGCCAATCAGGTGAAAGGGAGTCTCCTCAGGGGTGTGGCCTGCATCTGTATATAAGCAGACGTTATGGCTTTTTGCTCTCTCTGGATCCTGTGGCTGCTTCCTGCCATCTCATCTCCCATTCTCGGGACTTGAGCTGTCAGCTTATCTGCCGAACCTGGGATTCGTCGATCTGCACAGCCTGTGAGTGGGAGCCCTGCTCTCCGACCTTCTGATCTTGGGCTTGCCAGCTTCTACAGCTGTGTGACTTGGGAGAGGCCTGTACCCTGATCCACGGACTTGGGACGTTCTAGCCTCTACAATCACGTGAGCTGTTTCCTTGATGTAATCTCTCTATATATATATATTTATACACTTTACTGGTTTTGCTTCTCTAGAGAACCCAGCCTAAGACAGTATCCATGCCTCACACCATACACAAAAACAAATTCAAAATGGATTAAAAACCTAAATGTATCAAGTAAAACCATAAAATTCTTAGACGAACGAGCAGGGGTAACACTGTCAGGCCTAGCTGACAACAGCGGATTATCTGATATAATAACAAAAGCACAAACAGCAAAAGACAAAATAATAAATGGGACCTCATAAAAATTAAACACTTTTGTTCATCAAAAGACTTTACCAAAAAAGTGAAAAGACAAGTTACCAATTGGGAGAGTATCTTCAGAAACCATATATTCGACAAGAATCTAATAACCAAAATAGATATAAAACTTCAACAACTTAACAAAAAAACAACCCAGTCATAAAATGGGCAAAAGACTTGAATAGACATTTCACCAAAGAGGACATTCAAATGGCCACCAAGCACATGAAAAGAGCATCATTAGCCATCAGAGAGATGCAAATCAAAACTACAGTGAGATACCATTTCACCCCACTAGCATGGCTAAGATGAAAACAAAACAAAACCAGAAAATAACAAATGTTGAGAGGATGCAGGGAAATTGGAACCCTTATCCACTGCTGATGGGAATGCAAAATGGTGTCGCCACTGTGGAAAACAGTGTGGCAGTTTCTCAAAAAACTACTAGAATTACCATATGACCCAGCAATTCCATTCTGAGGTATATACTTACAAATCTTGAAAGCAGAAACTCAAAAAGAGACTCATACACCAATGTTTACTGCAGCACTATTCGCAATAGCCAAAAGGTGCAAACAACCTGAATACCCATCGACAGATGCATGGATTAACACAATGTGGCACATACACATGAATACCTACTCAGCCAGTACGAGAAGTGAAGTCTTGATATATGCTATAGTATGGATGGAGCTTGAAGACATTACGCTGAGCGAAATAAGCCAATCACAAAAGGACAAATATTACATCACCCCACTTATGTAAAAAGAAAAGGCAAATGTATAGAGACCAAAATTTATTAGTGGTTACCAGGGGCGGGAAGCAGGGGACAAAGAGGGTTAACGGTGATGGAAAAATTGCACTGATTAAGGGTAGGGTTGCACAGCCAATTATTGTAACACCTGTAAAAAGTTGAATTGGCAAAAGTTGTATGATAGATATTGTCTTAGTTATCTAGTGCTGCTATAACAGAAATACCACAAGTGGATGGCTTTAACAAAGAGATATTTATTCTCCAACAGTCTAGGAAGCTAGAAGTCCGAATTCAGGGCGTCAGCTCCAGGGGAGGGCTTTCTCTGTCAACTCTGGAGGAAGATCCTTGTCATCAATCTTCCTCTGATCCAGGAGTTTCTCAGTGTAGGGACCCTGTGTCTAAAGGACATGCTCTGCTTCTGGCACTACTTTCTTGGTGGTATGAGGTTCTCCTGTCTCTCTGCTAGCTTCTCTCTTTTATATCTCAAAAGAGACTGACTCAAGATACAATCTAATCTCGTAGATTGAGTCCTGCCTCATTAACATAACTTTCTCTAATCCTGCCTCATTAACATCATAGAGGTTAGGATTTACAACACACAGGAAAATCACATCAGAACACAAAATGGTGGACAACCATACAATACTGGGAATCATGGCCTAGCCAAATTGACACATATTTTGGGGGGACACAATTTAATCCATAACAGATATATTTACAACAATGACAAAAAAGAGTAGCTGCTGACACTGCTTATGTACAATCAAATACCTCATGGGATTTAGTTCCTTGGTTTGGAGGTTTAGGGTCATGGTTTCATGGAATATCCCAGTTAATTGGCCTATTAATGTGTTTAGTGCTTCTTTTCTACCTCTTACTTCACTGTGTAGTGACTGGGGTCTTAAAAGCTCACAAGCGGCCATACAATGGACAACAACTGGTCTCCATTCACCCAGAACAACAGAGGAAGAAGGAGAGTCAGGAATAGGAAGAAGATATGGAATACACTGCTAATTGCCTCCATGAACAACTGCCTCCTTTGCCATGAGACCAGAAGAACTGGATGGTGCCCAGCTACTATTACTGAACATTTTGATCAAAGATTCTCTAGAAGAATTCTGATCAAAAGGGGGAAAATGTAGGACAGAATTTAAAATTCTCATGGACTCTAGACTTTCTAGAGCCATGGAGGGTGGATGAACCCCTGAAACTATTGCCAAGATAATCTTCAAACTTTAAAACAAAAATATTCCCTGAAGTCATCTTAAAACTGAAGAATAGTTTAGCTTAATGAGTAAAAAACATCTACCTTAAGCATTATGCTTGCTTTAGAATTATCTAAATGGGATCAAACAGACAACAGCAACTCAGAAGATTAAGGGGACAGTGAGTTCATGTTAATGGGGGACGAACAACCCAGAAAAGGAGGGTGAGAATGGTTGCACAATTCAAAGAATGCAATCAATATCACTAAATTGTACATGTGGAAAGAGTGGCTGTGTATATCCTCAACAACAACAACAAAAAACAAAACAAAAATGGCATCAAGTGAGAGAATATACTTGAAAGAACAAAAAGAAACTGATAATAGCAGTTACTTCCTGGGGAAAAGAATTACCTTTTACCATATAGCCTTCAATAGCGTTTCATTTTTATTATACACATGTATAAATTTTTTTAAAAATCTAATATTTTTAAGCATCAATATACCAATAAGTGTCTCTGTCTCTACACTGAACTTTTGTCTCCAAAGTCGCTGTCCTTGGCCAGAAAACATATCCTAGTGGGTGGTAGTTGTTTTACACTGTTTCAAAGAGCTCTGGAGACAAATTATTCCCAAGCCATGGTTGAAATTTAACAGAGAAAGAGCCAGTGACAGAAGCGGCAAAATTTGGTTGGTTCTTTGCTGCTTTATAAGGGCTGTTTAGGCATAGATGCGTTTTTGCACTTGAAACACAGGAATTGTTCTGTAAACACTGTAGGATAAGACAAACACATGAACAGACAAAGCAATACCTGGCTTTTGCTTAATTACAGGGTTGAGATCTATAAATTTTGTACACTGTATATTTGAGTGACAGCATCCATATACCTCTGAGCCTCTGACTGTCTTAATTTATAATCACCTTATTTTTTTTAAAATTGTTATTGTGCTTTAGGTGAAACTTCACAGAGCAAATTAGTTTCCCATTCAACAGTTTGTGTCATCACCTTATTTATGATGAATTCTTAGACCTAAGTTATTATCCAAAAACCAAAACCAAACCAGTTGCCGTTGAGTTGATTCTGACTCTCAGTGACTCAAAGCATTGCAGAGTACAACTGTGATCCGCAGGGTTTTCATGGCTGTGACTTTCTGGAGGCAGATCACCAGGACTTTCTTTCGAGGGTAGGTTCAAACCACGTGCTTAACCGTTTGCGCCACCCAGGGACTCCTAAGTTATCAGTCCGTATTTACATAATTAAATATTGAAAAAATATGCCCATGCAGAAGATATAAGAAAGCCAGCAACCAGAAAGTTACTGAAATATGCTTTTTGCCACTGGTTTGAAAACCATAAAAAGATCTTTTCCTTCTGACTCCCCAGTTAGGGATCGATATATGCTTGGAAACACTCACAGGCCCAGCACAAGCACTGACTCAGTGCAACGAAGCAGAGGGCTCAGAAAGAGAACCTGAGTCTCATCAAAGTCTGTGCTGACCTGAGAGCGAGCCGCCAACACGCAGAGCTCTTGTTGGAGTGCAGGTGACAGACGAGCTTATGTGTGGATGTAGCATGAGCACAGCTTGTTTTAACAGCCTGTAATCTTTTATTAAAGTTCTGCGAATGTTTTTGAAATCGGTTTTTTTTTTTTAATTGTATTTTAGATGAAGGTTTACAGAACAAACTAGCTTCTCATTAAACAATTAATACACATATTGTTTTGTGACACTGGTTGCCAAACCCATGACGTGTCAACACTCTCCCCTTCTCGACCTTGGGTTCCCTATTACCAGCTTTCCTGTCCCCTCCTGCCTTCTCGTCCTTGCCCCTGGGCTGGTGTGCCCCTTTAGTCTCGTTTTGTTCTATGGGCCTGTCTAATCTTTGGCTGAAGGGTGAACCTCAGGAGTGACTTCATTACTGAGTTAAAAGGGTGTCCGGGGTCCATACTCTCAGGGTTTCTCCAATCTCTGTCAGATCAATAAGTCTAGTCTCTCTTTTTTTTTTTTTTCCGAGTTAGAATTTTGTTCTACACTTCTGCGTGAGCACAACTTCTAATAAAGATATTGGCAATTTTGCCCAGAGCACATAATCTTTGACACTTGCACTAACTGGTTAGCAGAGCGTTGTTTATTAACAAAAAGGTAGTGTACTTTGTTACCAAAAAGAGAAAGAAGTGGGAACAAAATAAATATGTACTTTCTAGCAACAAAATAAAATTACTCAGAATGAAGTTTATTGACCAGAGAGACAGACAGGGTGTTACAAACACGTCATTCACAGGGAGGGAGGGTTGAACAAGTCCACCATGGTATCCACTACACAGCAGGTCCCAGCCCGCGTCACCCTTGCTAGAGATGGTTGATCAAGGGCACCCCGTGAGAGGGCAGCTCCTGGTGCAGCTGCCGGAAGAGCATCGCACAGCGGTTCCTCTCCTGGGTCTTCCCCAGCGTGTGGTAGAGCCGGGCCTGGAAGTAAACCACATCTCTGATTTGCTCCTTGCAGTCAACCTTGGAGAAGTAGCTCTTGGCTTCGTTGAGGTTCTCAATGGCGGCCTCCAGAGCTGATAGTAGTGGGGGAAAAATACCACACACGTTTAACTCAACACTTTATGTACAGTTTTCAAACTTGCCATCTAATTTTGTTTAACTTGGAGTACATACTTTTCTGTTCTATCCCTGAGAGAAAAAAATAACACACTAGGGTGAGATTTTTAAAAGGTCTTTAGTCCTGATTTCCAACCTGGAACATAGCTCTACAGGGTTAAAATAACCATTCATTTGCCCTCAGTCCTCCTTCTAAGCATGCACACAAGAGCACTTTAAATGCTGCCTGAAATTATAATATAAATTTGTGAAGATTCAGGACTTAAGTGCTATCCCAAATTTAATGTCTTTTCTCCTTCTGGGCCCTAAATTTTACGAGTTTTCTGGAATGGCATTTCCTAACAATGTCTGTATGACCGCCTACCTTCTGCTTTCTTTGGTGGATCATAGGAAGCTGCTGAAGCTACCTGGCACTTGGCCACCAGGAACATGGCACGGCCTTTGTCCAGGACGGCCCCATCGGCCAAGATGGGCTCAATGGCCATGTGGAGAAGACTTAAGGCCTGTTCTGGGATTCCAAGGATGAGCTGAAAAAGAAACATCACAGACATCCACAATGTCCACACCCACACCCACTGCCCGTGACCAGGCAGGACTCTGTGTATGGCTGTTGTCCCTGACATGTACTGCATTACAGCCTGCACCACACTCCCGGAAAACATGTGACAATCTGATTGCAGCGTCTACAGGAGGAGCAGTTATTCTCACCATGGAAGGTTTCTGTCTTTACAAAGATAGCACAGGTATCCTTGGGATTAGGGATTCCCGAGGATCCGACCAGCTGTATAAGGATCACTGGGGAAGGGCAACCACTAAGAAAAGAACGCAAAGGTATATAGCAAAAAACAAAAGTGTATGTTAAAAAAAGTGACAAGGGAGTCAAAACGGTACACTAGAAAATAACTACTGAACAAAAACGAAGGCAATAATGGAGGAACTGAGGAACAAAGAAGATCTAGGACCTACAGAAAACAGATAGCAAAATGGCAGAAGTCCTTCCTTATCAGCAATTACCTTAAATGTAAGTGGATTAGCGAAATGAAAGGCAGAGAGTGGGAGAACGGATTAAAAAAAACCAATCTAACTATAATTACATTCTGTCTACAAGTGACTCATTCTCTTGGAGAATGAATAGTCTGTGTAAGAAATGGTACTGGGACACCTGGATACCCACATGCAAAAGAATGAATCTGGATCCCTACCTCACACCATATACAAAATTCATGAAAAATGGATCAAAGATCTAAATGTAAGAGCAAAAATTATAACAACTTAGAAGGTAACATAGGTATAAATCTTTAAGCTCTTGGATTAGGAACAGTTTCTTAAATATGACACCAAAAGTACAAGCAACAATAGAAAAAAAGAATAAATCAGACCTTATCAAAATTAAGTTTTGCACATTAAAAGACAACATCAAGAAAGTAAAATGACAACCCAAAGAATGGGAGAAAATATTTGCAAAGCATATATCTGAAAAGGGTCTAGTATCTAGAACATATAAAGAACTCTTACAACTCAACAACAAAAATACAAAAAAAATTAAAAATAGGCAAAGGACTTGAACAGACATTTCTCCAAAGAAGACATACAAATGGATGACAAGCACTTAAAAAGATGTTCATCGTCATTAGTCATCAGAGGAATGTAAATTATTATGGTTTTGAGTTGTATTTCTCTAATGACTAATAACATAGAGCATCTTTTCATAGGCTTGTCCATTTGTATGTCTTCTCTGGAAAACAATCAGATACCATTTTGCACCCATTAGGGGGGCTATAATCAAAATGAGAGAGATTAGCAAGTGTTGGCAAGGATTTAGAGAAACTGGAACGCTTGTGCATTGCTGGTGGGAATGTAAAATAGTGCAGCCACTGCAGAAAACAGTGTGGCAGTGCCTCCAGAAGTTAGACACACCGTTACCATAAGACCCAGCAATTCCACTCCTAAGTATGAACCCAAGAGAATTGAAAACATATTTGAACAAAACAAAAACCTGTACACAAATGTCCACAGAAGCATTATTCATAATTACCAAAAAGTAGAAATGACCCAAATGTCTATCAACTGGTAACTGGATAACTGAACAGTGGTTTATACATACAATGGAATATTACTGAATCATAAAAAAGAATGAAGTTCTGATACATGCTACAGCGTGGATGAACCCTGAAAACATTATGCTAAGCTAAAAAAGCCAGACAAAAAGGCCCCACAGTGTATCACTGTATTCACATGAAATGTCCAGAACAGGCAAATGCATAGTGACAGAGAGTAGATAAATGGTGACCAGGTGTTTAGGGAAGGGGAGAAAGAGGAGTGACTGTTTAAAGGGTATGGGATTCCTCTTAGCGGAGATGAAAATATTCTGGAATTAGATAGTGGTAATGGTTGCCCAACACTGTGAACGTGTATTTTAAATTTAAATTGTACTGACGGACTGTTCCAATCAGGGCCACAACAGACAGACCCTGAAAGAATGAAAGAGAAGTGTGGAACAGAACCTCAAATTCCTAAAAAAAAAAGACCTACTGGACTGGTTGAGACTGGCGGACTCCCCAAGACTATTGCCCTGAGATACTCTTCAAACCTTGAACTGAAACTAACCCCTAGGGTCTCCTTGTAGCTAAATAACAGATTGGCTCACAAAATAATGAATATCACCTGTTAACTACTGTGCTTCTTTTAAAAAATCACCTATATGAGACCAAACAGTTAACAATTACTTTAAAACAAAGATGAGAAGGTAAGGGGGCAGGGAAACTAGATTAATGGACACAGAACAACCAGAATGGAAATAATGTGAATGCTCATGGATTGTGAAGACTGTAACCAATGCCACTGAACAATCTGTGTAGAAACTGTTGAATGAGAACTTAAATTTCTGTGTAAACCTTTACTGAAAATACAATATTACTAAAAAAATTTTAATTGTACTGAATTGTATACTTTAAAACGGTTAAAATGGTGAATTTTATGGTATATGAATTTTATCTCAATTTAAAAAAATAAAAAAGAACCACTGGGGAAACTGGTAAAGAAATCAGATTCCTGGGCTCCCCAGATTCCAACTAGCAGGTCCAAAGCAAGGCCAGGTAGGTATATGCTTTTCAAATCTCCCCAAGTAATTCTAATGAACAGTCGGTTTGGGATACCTCTGCTGTAGTTAATAAACTCTTCCCATAAGTTCAAAATTCATCCATTCGCTCAATAAATGTTTATTGAAAGCCTACTATGTGTCTGGTTCTACTAGGCACCAGGAGTTACAGCAGAGACTACAGAGAGTCCCTTCCTTCACAGCATTTACATTCAACTGGGGGAGACAGAAAACCAACATCAAATACAACTGGATTTCACAATCTCTCCATGAACCCAAGATTCCCTCATTTCCTTATTCACCGCTTTGCTAAGGCAAGCACTGCTCTGGGCCAGCTGACCGTGACGCCAGCCCGCCCACTGAAGTCAAAGCCCGACTAGACACACAACTCGGTAAGCGAGTGCCACTGACAGTGTTGCCCTGCCACCGAGTTCACGACACCACAGACTGCCCAGGGGGCTTTTCACTGCGGAATGCATGTCCAGGCTTTAATATTAACGGGCGTGCTCAATGTTATATTTTTCCAAACCAAAAAGTAGTAATACACTCACCAGGTCTTGACCACAAATAGGTGCTATGAAAATAGAGACCCGCTTACCTGGGCGAAAGCCAAGTTCAGCACTGTTTCGGAGGCCAAGTACTGTAGCCGGTACTCCTTGGAGAGGGCCAGAGCCTGCAGGAGCACGGGCAGCGCGATGGTGGGGGAGGACGATCGCCAGTACAGCTCGGCCACTGAGAGCAGGACGCTGGCCGCAAAGAAGGAAACAGGGGTGAAACATCCAGCGTGCAGTCATGTCCACGGAAGAGGCACGAGCGCACACTCACCTGATCACCATCTCTGTGTTCTTCATCTTCTGACAATGGATCAACAGTTTCTGTAAGAGCTTGTGTGCCTCCGACATTTGGTTCTGAGCTTGTAGGACAACTGCTTTTCTGTGACAGGAGCAAAAGAGACACAAGAAGTTATGCTGATGCTTTGTTAAGTGTTAGAACTCTAGTCAATTTCAGGGTGGTGGTTGTTAGGGGTCCATCGATTTCAGCTCATAGCAACCCATGTGACAGAGCAGAACTGCCCCATAGGGTTTCCTAGCTGTAATCTTTACGGAAGCTGATTGCCAGGTCTTTCTCCCATGGAGCCACTGGGTGAGTTCGATTAGCAGCCGACTGCTTAACCTTTGCCCACCAGGGCTCCTTATTTCGGGGTTAGAATCTTTAATTCTTCAATTAGACTGCAAACCTCCCTTGGAGAAGGACTGTGCCTAATATTATTTTGGTGAAAAGAAAAAAAATGCATATGTATGAATGTGTGTGAAGGTATGTGTATACATACACACACTAATATATGCAAGCAAAAAAAAGTTCTGGAACGATAAACACCAGAATGTTAGTGATTATCTCTGGGTGATACTGATTTTTTCATATTGCTTATCTGTTTTTTCTAATTTCCTGTAGTAAGAAGGTAATGAATAGAAAACAATCTTTTCTTAAATTAAAGTAAATCGATTAGTAATGACCCATTCATAAACTCTATAATGCATAAATAAAAACAAAGCCACTTAAAAACTCCTTCAGTCTGGGGTTGGAGCCGTCAATCCTTCTCACCTATATACACCTTCCATGCTGTTAAGAGCTGTGATTCCTGCAACCAGTGAATCAGCCAAGTGGTATTTGCCATCGTTCATTGCTCTGTCAAACTGGATTTTCTGATCACAAAGCATCCATAACTACAAAGGAAAACAAAGCAAACGTGCACCTTATTATTCAACAGGATATAAAGGTATTTTGGCTTGCTGAGCAACTATCTTTAGAACAATTCACTCATTCTTTTTCTTTTTAGATTTAGACTTAGAAAAAAAATTTTTTTTAATATTACAAGCATGTGAGAAAGCACGAGAACAAAACAAGTATACCAATCACTGACTTCGTCAAATGACAGCATGTTGCCATATTGCTACAGATACTACGAGATACTACTGAAGTCCCCTGTGTTTCCTTCACAAATTCCATTCCCCCCTCTCCTTTTCCAAAGTAAGCACTTAATTTGGTGTTTATCATTCCCACTCAAGTTCTCACCCTTTCACAACATACACCTTTATCCACAAACAATACCATACCCATTGCTGTCAAGTCAATTCCAACTCATAGCAACCCAGGAGGACAGAGTAGAATTGCCCTACAGGGTTTCCAAGGCTGTAAATCTTTACAGAAGCAGACTGCCATATCTTTTGCCCACGGAGCAGCCGGTGGGTTCGAACCGCTGACCTTTCGGTTAGCAGCCGAGCGCTTAACCACTATGCCACGAGGGCTCCTTTCATAAACAGTGTACTGTATCATTTTGTACGTTTTTAAACTCTATATAAATTAATAGTATCATAGTAGATGCATCCTTCCGGCAATCTGTTTTTTAGCTCAACATTATTTTTCTAAACCTTACGCATGTTAACACACATAGTTCTAATTCATTCATTTTCACCGCTGAATAGTTTTTAATTATATGAATATGCAATAGTTATCTACATAGTAAGAACCCTGGTGGCGCAACCGTTAAGAGCTCGGCTGTTAACCAAAAGGTTGGCGGTTCAAACCCACCAAGTGCTCCGTGGGAGAA